CTAGAACAGTAAAAGCATAGCCTACCTTTTAGCTGCAGCGACTGATTCATTATGAGTTTATAATGAAGCTCTGTAATCAAATGAGAACACAATTTTTAGTTTGAGCTCTCTCCATACCCCCTTAACTTCCCTTTTCCCATTGTAGAATAAAGCTAGGCTTGCTCCTAGAGAATGTCACTCACATCAGCTTTCAATATTTCTGATAGACTGAAATTTTTTTCATTAAAAATGTACAATAAACATATGGGCTCAAAGGGTGAGGGAGTAACCGTAATGTGAAACCTAAGAGTGGATATTATTTAAATAATATTGGGAAGGAGGTAGAGAGTGGAAGTAGAGTTACAGAAGACAAATTTTTTCAGTAGTTTTAAGACAAGTATGCACATAGAAGTATAGCATAACTCAGGTCACACTGAATGAAACCAGTTTGTGTATTCTGCACTATGAACAAGGGTTTATAACTAGCCCAAACATCTAGCTCAGGAGTGGGGCAAACTTTTTGGCCTGAGGGCCACATCTGAGTATAGAAATTGTACGGAAGGCCATGAATGCTCATGAAATTGGGGTTGGGGTATGGGCTCTGGGGTGGGGCCAGAAATGATTTCAGGAGGGGGCTCCTTGCTGGGGGGGATGCGGGCTCTGGCTGGGGATGAAGGGCTTGGGGTGTAGGAGGGTGCTCCGGGCTGGGGGGAACGTGGGCTCTGGCTGGGGATGCAGGGCAGGTGGTTGGGTTGCAGGGGAGGGGGATGGCACAGGGGTGCAGGCTCTGGGTGGCACTTACCTCAAGCAGCTCCCAAAGCAGCAGCATGTCCTCCTCCTGCTCCTACGCGGAGGTGCAGCCAGACAGCTCTGCAGCACACTGTCACAGCCGTACACACCGCCCCCACAGCTCCCATTGGCTGGGAACCACAGCCAATGGGAGCTGCATGGGTGGCACATGGGGCAGTGTGCAAAGTGGAGCCCCCTGGCTGGCCCTATGCGTAGGAGCCAAAGGGGGCACATGCTGCTGCCTCCAGGAGCCACCAGAGCAGGGCAAACCCCAGATGCCACTCCCCAGCGGGAGCTCGAGGGCCAGATTAAAACAGCTGGTGGGCTGGATGTGGCCTGTGGGCCGTAGTTTGCCTACCCCTGATCTAGCTACTTTAAGCTCTAAAGAATGTACTGATGTTACCATGAATGTAAAGTATTTTTTTGTTGTCCAGGTACAAGCTTTGAACTGTTTTGTCAATTTTCTCATGGTTGGATTTCTTGTAAACCAGCTGTGCTCAAAATTAACCAGTCTGTCATACTGACACTTTTTGCCTACATCTCTTATTGACAAAATACCCCAACCCTGATCTGGAGAAACAATCAACAAGACAGGGGCCACATTCTCTCTACAAAGATTCAGTCAATAGCTTCTCTCAAGGATGACAAGAATGCTAATTTAAATGGTATTTTTGTAATGTGAACACTTGTCTAGCAGAAACTAAACTTGAGATCACACCAGCTGATTTCAGATGTACTACTATATATCTATCCCCCGGTAAACTGAAATGGTGGCCTACTAGGTGTGAAAGACTAATTTCATTACCTTTCCCCAAGTTATCCAGTCCCCTATGCCTTTTCAGGCTTTGGAGTCCGTAACTGACCAGATTTGTCTTTGAGCTTTTGTTAGCCTCACAGTCAAAATCATTAGAATTCCCTTCTTATATCCCCTGTTATAGTCTAAGTGTTGGGAAATATTTTCTAACAGTTTCAAAACAAAACTCTTGTGAAAAGGACAAGGAATGGTAGGCCTAAGCAAGTGGCATCAGGGATCTCTTTAAAGAGATGACACGGAAGAAGAAATGTGGGGATGCAAAAGCAAAACCTACATTCATTGTAATTAATTCATAACTTAGCATGTTGAGGAAAAAGATATCAAAGATTTCTCGACTTGCAGTGACAACTCTCCAATCTCTCATCTAGTGCCTCTAGAATCTACACAAAGTTGTATATGGAAAGTCACCTCACCTTTGTTTTCCCTTTTGAGATATTCAATTTCCTCATGAAGCTTCCTTAGGGTCTCAGCATGCTGCTGTTGTAGGAACTTCAGGCTTCTCTCCAAGTCCATGACTAGTTTATGTGAGTCTTTGTTCCAGACTTCAACAGACTGGGACTGAGAGAGAGGCTGAGGCCCCTCGTTATTCTGGATGCCAAGTTGAAGATGGCTTGATTTATCCAGTCCTACTCTTGACCACTGTGGTAGGTTCCCCAGCGGAGGCAAACTGGTATTGTACATCCCCAAAGGTCCTGATACAAAAGTTGTTTTCAGACTAGGGTTATGTGGGCAGCCTACAGCTTCTCAGTAAAGTAGCTGAGGAAATGCCACTGAAGTTGAACAAGGGTCAGTGACCACGTTTAATGTGCTTCAGTCTCTATGAGGTCAGGCCCTCTATGTACCTTGTGCCCCTGGCATGCAAATGCGCCTTTACTATGACCCTGGCATCATGGGTTTGGAGGGTGTCTCCTCAGGACTTGGCTCTGACACTGGGCTTGTGTTCACTGTCTCAGATGGAGGGAGTGGACTATGGCTCTGTGTGCCTCTGCTCTACGTAACTTGCCCTCACAGGGGAATGGGGATGGGGCAGGTATCACTACCCAAAGCCTCCCCACGGTCACCAGCCATTTCTGCACATGACCCTCAAATTTACAGCTGCCAACCTAGAATGTGGGGGTGGGGGGAAGAGAACAAGAATGTGAGCTTAGTAAGCACGGAGCCAGCAGGCTGGAACTTGCCCCCCCCTTCACACCCCACACACCCAGCTCAGCTCCCCCTCCTTCCCCCTCCCCTCTCAGCCCACCACATACACATCCTGGGCTCAGCCACCCCCACACATATACACCCTTGGGCCCAGCCAACCCCCGACCTCTCCCCCCACGCTAAGGCTCAGACACCCCCCGACCTCAGCCAGCCTCGCACCCGTAGCCCCAGTTTCGAACCCACCAGCTCCTCCCCCCAAAAGCCCGCGGGTAGACGTAGCCTTGCCCCCCCCCACACACACCCTCTCCACGCGGCCTGGGCTCCTCTTTCCGCCCCGCTCTCCTCAGGCCCGGCGCCTGCTGTCAACGTTCCCATGGAGACAGGAGCACACCACAACGCCGGAGCGGGCGCCGCCCCTCTCAGAATGGTCTCGTCCGAGGGGTGCGGGTGGAGGGGCTCTCCCCCTGCCCCCGCGGCAGGGTGGTATCACCCACCTGGGACAAGGCCGGCGCTGGGCTCCTGCTGCCTAGCCCAGGCGCGGCCCGTTGGGGGAGGGGATGCGCAGGGAAGTCAGCGGGTTCGGGTCCCGTTCCGAGACGCTTAGACAGACAGAGCCTCTTACCTGACAATCGGGGCCTGGGGCTTGCAGAGAAGGGAGGCCAGGGGCTGCTAGCAGGAGCCCTGCGTTAGCAGAGGAAGGGAGACCCATCCTCAGCCCCTGGCACTGCCAACCGCCCCCCCCCCCGCAGCAGTGGCAGGGGAAGGTCCTAGCCGCACTTGGGAACTGATGCTGCATAACACATATAACATCCTGTAGGCATAGACTCCAGGGCCTCAGGGGACCAGCAAGAACATCTCCTCTGACCTCCTGCAGGCTGCAAGCCACAGAACCTCACCCATCATCCATTCCTGTAGCAGTCCCATAACCTCTGGCTGAGTTACTGAAGTCCTCAAATCTTGATTTAATGACTTCAAGTTACAGAGACTCTCATTCAAACCAGCATGTGACCCACGCTCCACCCTGCAAAGGAAGGTAAAAAAAAAAAAAGCCCAGGCTCTCTGCCAATCTGACTTGGGGGGAAATTCCTTCCGAACCTCAGGCATGATGATCAGTTAGAATCTGATGATATGGGCGAGAGCCACCAGCCAGACACCTGGGAAATAATTCTCTGTAGTAACTCAGAGTCCTCCCCCATCTATGGCCATAGGAGATATCTGCTAATAGCAGTTGCAGATGGCCTTATGCCATTAGAGGCAATCTCCTTTATAAATTTATCAAGCTCAGTCTTAAAACAAGTTAGTTCTAGGACTGCCTTCCAACTGTGGGGGTGGGAGGGGAGGGAGAGGATGGACTGACTGGGACTTCACTCCTCTGATGGTTAGAAACCAATCTTCACTATTGTCTGCCCATTGCATCACTGGTAGCTGCCCTGCCCTCCCTGGCTAAGAATGGCAGTATTTGAGAGCATAGGGATCAATGCTGCCTTGACAGGGAAAAGGACCAGACCTCCCAAAGGCTTTTCTGCATTAGCTTATGGTGCAAGAAAGTTTACATTTCTTATTCTGCTTTTGCCCTAAAGCTTCTCCTCTTCCGTACCACTTTTAAAGATGTGTTGGTGAATTTCATGCTCAGCAGTAAAAGCGCAGTGCTTGCTACACAAAGCTATCTGCACCAGTACTGTGTTAGTCCAAGTCACCTGGTGCAGAAGCCAGCAATCATGTGACAATATGATTTGAATGTGACAATGGACAAGTGTTATTTATACAGGCTCGTAGGTGGGCAAAATCCTTTACAGATAAAATGAGAAGTGACAAATCTCTGCCCAGAGGATATTATGTGGTACCTTAAATACACCTTGCAGTAGTGAGATGTAATCCTTTATCCCACAAGTGCCACAACGGCACCTGACAGCAGTGTATTTCAGGGGAGAGCGGGTTAAACTAACTGATTCCTTAAACATATTTTCTGTTTAAACAAAGAAGCTCAGTTTACTTTGGTTTAGTTGGTGACTCTTTTCTAAAGTAGTTTGTTGCTAGGAAGGTAGCACATTTGTTAAAAAATGAAATGTGAGCGATTTTGAACCCAGGGCTACAGATCAGAGGCCTGAACATACTTCCTTTATGCCATCTACCAGAACAAATTGCAGTACTAGAAAGAAACTGACAAAATCTTACTAAAAATAAATGCATAATACAGTACTCACTATTTCACTTACACACACTGCAACACAGTCCTGCTCAAAAAGAAGGTTTAACACAAAACACACTAGGAGACTTTGCTTTAAAAATAAATCAAGCGAGCACTTTAATTTACATACACGGTTTCAAAAGAAGAAACTTGTACCACAAAGAGAAATTTGATTGAACAAGATGAGTGAAAGGTTCACTGGATTTGGTAAACATAAGTTGGAAATGCAGTTATCAGGAAACATGGAAAGTTCCTCATTTTGAAAAGACAGGGACCAGTGAAGACAACAAGTATGTATTGGTTCAGAAAAGGGAATGCAGAGTTAGTCCCTGTGCTAGGCTATGGGATTTCAGCTGCCAGCTCCTCTACCTTTCCTGGTACTTTGAAATATTTATAATGCAATTTTTTTGCAAATCAAAGCAATCATATGTATCTGGCAACAAGATGCAACTCCCCTCTCCTGTTTCTGAGCCAAACCATTATTACCAATTTCCCCCAGTTTTCTGGTAATTTAAGCCAAAAACTTGTTTATGCTAATCATGTCATTTTTGTCCTACTGATTTTTTGGGATTCAGCTTTGTGGCCAGAACTCATGATTTGTGGCTACTATTGCCTTTGTGACCCTGAAACCCCCCTCCCCAGCAACATGATATAAAACCTGCAGAAAGCAGCTCAAAATGGCCAATTCCCAAATTAAGTGGAAAAAGTAAAAAGCTGCAATATGGATAGATTGCCAAATCTAGAGCTGTTTTTATGTGTAGTTTCCCATAGCTACTTTGGGCTGTTCATTTCAGCTCCACAACTATTGGAGGTTGTTCCCCAAACCACAAGCAGTGTCTCTCATTCCGCACATTCAGTAAACTGTATAGAAAAGACAGTTTATCAAAAGAGAATTTACACAGATTACAGCGGTTTCTCCAACCACAAACCCATCCCTCTGGCTCAACTTTAATACAAAAAACACACTTAAAAGTTTTGAAGTGATCCTTTGCCGAAGCCTTTTAATCACGAAGCACTGTACTTTTATCCTTAAAAAGTTTGTTTTACAATGTACACTGAAGGGAAAAATTAGTGTTGATGAGGTTTCCACCTTTCAGTGAAGAAAGTCATTACTACTGCATAAAGAAGATACCCAAGGAGAATAATGAATGTGCAGGCCAGTGGTCCAATGCAGAACCAAGATGCAATGAAGTACATCATGAACAAAGAAAGAAGAGTCCTGTAGCTAGCCAGAAATCTCAGACTGATCCTTGGTCGCCGAGAACGTCCTGATCTTTGTTTCAGTGCTGGGCTGTGCCTGCCCTTCTCTGCAAGGAATGGGTTGGTAAGATGATAGCGACACAAGCTGCCAATAAAGTCTTCCCTGGAGCAGAGAATCTCCATTTGATCAGCAAACTAAGGTATGAAAAACAAAGTCAGTAACAGAACAAGAAAAATGTAAACAAAAATTAAAATGTGGATTTTAAGTTCACACTGAAAAATTGTTGCTTTTATGTTTTGGTTTGTATTAAGGGGACCAGAAAGGATATAGCAATTATAACTCAAAACTCATATGTCTTTCAAAAGTTAGAATTGTTCCAACACAAATTTACATCTGTACTGTAGTAATTCTGCTCATTTACTATTAGTGGTACAAAGCGCTAAACCAACAGAAGGAAATCTGGAACAACAGTGGTCATGCCATTCATATGTACTCAGAAGTGTATACATATTATGTCAGGATATAAGTGGAGAAAGGACTAACCATCAGGTTGCAAGACAGAGCTTAAAGGAGTGAGAGGCAGGAGGAGGAAGGAATAAAAGGGCTTGGTTGGATTAACCCTTTTCCGGCTTATTTTGACAACTAGGGGAACAGAGTGTTCTTTCATTATGCTAATATGATCCTGCGAAAGATATTCGTTCTACCTCATCTACCATGAACAATACATTTCAGTGTACTGTTTCTGATTTGGAGAGACTGTTGTGACATTTACAACTCTTGAGCAATAGGGAAAAAACATGATTCCAGGCTGGAAGAAGAACCCTATGGAGTATTTGCAAACTCATGCCGAAATCCCGTTAATGGTGAGAGTACAAAGCAAGTGTGTAAGTTGTACATTGACACAGGTCAGAGGGAGAATAGGAATATGCAATTGGAAAAAAGAAAGAAGACTTCTCATTGCACTTACCCTTTGATTAATTGCTGAGGATAACTGGAACAACAGTCGCACTAGAGTGGCATTTTCATAACTTCTAATGGGCTGAAGGTCAGTATCTCCCTGGTACTCGATCTCAAACCGCCGTAAGCCATTTATGATCTAGGAACAGGAAAGGAAATAACATACTTTATAGCTCAAATTTGAATTGCATTTGAACTGGTATCTCTCCTCCCATCCCTGACAAGCTAACTATTTCTTTTGCTGTAGAGGCATACACTCTGCTTTCTAGAAGTATTGGACTGGAAGCTTTTCTCTCTTACCTGATACCTGCCAAGAGGCGTAAGAATTAGTCCATCCTCACTCTCAATGCAGTCTGGAAGTTGCTTCTTTCCATTCTCATCCTGAGCTGCTCCACAATTCATCATCATTTGGGTCAGCTGCGCTTCATTCAACTAGTCAAAAAGCACAATTTCTTCATAATTATTCAGTTTTACCACCTTTTTCTGTTCCACCTATTTCCCCATTCACCAGCTCCTGTGCAGCCCCTGAGAACCACATAGCCAATGACTGACAACAGAACAGGTACTGAAAACAACCCATTTACCAGTCTACAACAGAACTTTAAAAAAAACAAAAAAAAGGCAACTAAATTCCTAATTGTTTTCAGAAGGTGGCAAGCCCTGGCAGACAGAAGTATTATTCACTCAGTACATCCTAGTCTTCCCATAGCTGTTGCTTAGCTCTGTCTTCTCCCAGCCATATGCAAGCAAACTTGTGTAAAATCTCTTTGCTTCCTTTCAGCTTAATGAAAGAAGATACTAGAAGATGGCTGCTTCTATTAGCTTTATCACTTTTGCATTTCTACAGCATTTTACATTAGAAAATCTCAAAGTGCTTTAAAAACATTAAGCCATAAAATGCCCCTTGGTAAGTAGGAAAAATATGGGATTATTCTAAGTGGCTACTTATTGTTGGTACCTAGTTTAACATGACTTGGGACCAGTGTTCCCTCTAATTTTTTATGTCCATGTGCAGAATGAATTTTGTTATGTGCATCACTATGAAGGTGATGTGTCTCATATTGGTGCACATAACAAAATTCATGTGATGGAGGTGGGGATGAAGGGTTCAGAATGTGGGAGGGGGCTTGGGGCTGAGGTGCGGGTGTGTGTGTGTGTGGGAGGGCTTTGGGGTGGGGATGAGGGGTTTGGGGTGTGGAAGGGGTCTCACGGCTAGGGCAGAGGGTTGGGGTGTAGGGGGATGAGGGCTCTGGCAAGGGGTGCAGGCTCTGGGGTGGGGCTGGGGATGAGGGGTTCAGGGTGTGGGAAGGGGTCAGGGTTGGATGCAGGGGGTGAGGGCTCTGGCTAGGGTTGAAGGCTCTGGGGTGGGGCTGGGGATGAGGGGTTCAGAGTGTGGGGAGGGGTCAGGGCTGGGACTGAGGGTTGGGTGCAGGGGATGAGGGCTCTGGCTAGGGTTGAAGGCTCTGGGGTGGAGCTGGGGATGAGGGGTTTGGGGTGCAGGCTGCCCCAGGGCTGCAGTGTGGAGAGAGGACTCCCCTCAGCCCTCTCTCACTGCAACAGCTCGGGGCCAGGGGAGAGGCGCCTCTCCCCAGCCACGGCAGCTCCGGCGGGCTGGGCTGGGCCGATGGAAGGGCTCCTTTCCCCGGCAGCTCTGGTGGGTCTTGGCCAGGCAGGTCTGCACTGCGGGAGTGAGACCTCTCCCCACCGCAGCCCTGAGCCCCTGTGCAGGGCTTAATACACAGCGGCGTAGCCATGCGGGTTAGAGGGACCTTAGCCTGGGATTGATATTTTCAAGTACACAGCACCCGCAACTTTAGCAATAGTCAAGAGGTTTACAGGCATTCAGCACCCCTGGGGAAAAAAAAAAAAAGAATCCTAAAGTGTCTCAAGATGGACACCAAAAATTGAGGTACTCAAACTGAGTGTCCACTTTTGAAAATTTTGGCCTACATGACTTGCCAATGATCACACTGCAAGTAAGTGAGAAAGCTGGAAGTAGACTGCAGAAATCCTGACTCCCATTCATGCTACTTCCCAGTGACAGCACTTGGAAAGAAGTTACCTACCCGAAAGATCTGGCATAGGTACTCCTGTGCCTTCTCCAAATATTCATCTGTTTTCTTGATGCTGTCTTGCCCAATTTCATCTAGGTCATTGCCTGTATAGGAACCATTCATGTCAGACGGGCTGAACCTAAACCAGGATAGGAAGGACTGACTAGCCATGGTCTCTGCAGAGTGGTCTGATATGGATTTTGCCGTTTGCTTGGCCTGGCCTATTAACTGGGCCAATCTTAATACCTGAAAAATAAAAGACAGGAGGATGACTAAATAAAGCAATAGAATAAAGGACACAAGTCAGTAGTAAGCACCAGCATGTGAATACAAGTCTGCCTGGTGACGTATCAGTCAGAACAGAATCAGCACATTCGTTCCCTTAGCTGACATGGACTTGTGCTGGTAGTAGTTATGTGCTCCAGCTCCAATAGAGTAAAGGAAGTCACTGCATCTGGGGCAATCAGAGGAATGCGAGTAACCCCTCAGTTTCCTTTGAGATGCATCTTCCTTCAGTTCACTAGTCTGCTGCTTAGGGAGAGACCCTCTCCCTTTGCTACACCGTTTTTAACTGGCTTGCTGCTGGGTATTGATTATTAACATTATGAATCAGAAATACACACACAGTCATTGTTGAGAGATGAAACAAGTACATGCCCATAGCAGACTGCTCCAAAGCTGCAAACCCAGTCCACCCCACCCTTCAAGACTGGAAAGCAGTCTGTACATTTCTATTTTCGTACTTGTTATGGACCCTTCAAACAGATTCTATAACCATCACCAACTCCTGATTCACCCCCTACTTTTAAAGAGCTAAAATTTCTCCCCCCGTACATGATGGAGCAGATGTTCAGTATGGAGACATACCCCTCACAACAGCAATAAAGGGGCTTACACAGAGCAAGTAAGCAAGGTCATTGCTTACCAAATTCCTGACTTCTGGACCAAACATCTGCTTGTACTGGGAGTCCTGTCCTTCCAAGCAGTAAACATGACTCTTCACCTTAAATGAGGCATCTGTGATTGCTGGAGGCCATGATGACAAGAAGCTCCCACCAAGAGTGGGGGTCATGAAAATTCGGTGTTGACGGTGAGGGATAACAAGTTCTGGCTCCAGGAATAACTGCTCCCCTAGAATTTGGGATAAGATGATGTGGGGTGGAGAAGACTAGATTACACCTTCCTTCTGATTTGGGGATCTATCAATAAAATTTTTAATCACTCATTGTAACAAGGTTGTGAGGTTATTTGGGGGGAGGAGAGGGAGGGCAGGGCCCTAGTTATTACTTCAAGTTTTCCACTGAATCTTCACTCATACAGCAGAAACAGCTTTCACAATTACAATGGTGCATCTAAATCTATATAGACATAGTACTTCTAGGCCATGATTGCTTGTTGGAAAGGATATTATGGTCCTCATACCTGCCCAGCTGAGCATGTTCCAGCACCTGAAATTTTTGTTGCTTGCCTAAACCCTCCTGTGCGCTGCCGGCCCCCGCCCACTGTACCCCAGTACACTCAACATGCAGCTTTCAGGACACTTTGAACTGATATCTAGAATTTGGAGAGCAAGTTCTTCCTGACTAGCCATCTTGCTGAAGTCTGAGTAAATATAAATTTCTGTAGGGCATTACAAAGTTTTAATTCTGAGTTAATTAATAACCAAACACCACAAACAATAAGGAGATTGTAAAACACAAGGAGTTTCTGTTTACTAAAAATACCCAGCATCGTGTTCTTTTTATGTTAGTTAGAACAAATCGGAATCAGTGAGACTGATGAATGGAAATTAGAAAAAAAAATAAGAAAAACATATATATATATATATATATATATATATGAAACCAATACTGTAAATAGAAGCAAAGACATCAGGTCTCTGAACTTCAATGTCACATAAGGCAGACACTGAATCCTCCAATTCATATTTCTGCATGCTTCTGAGGCAAAAGCGTTGCTATGGGACAGACCAGGGCAGAAGACTGCAAGGAGGCAACATGGCATTCAGTTACCTTTCTGGATCATTTCAGCTAGGTTGGGCTGAGCAAAGACCTTGGCTACTCGGAACACCATCAGGGCATTTTTAGCGCTGACCAAATCGGTGCGGAGAGCTCGGTTCAGAAAGCCTACAAATAGCTTGGTATACATCAGTAAGTTCTCTTGAATGAAGGGAGCCCTGTCAAAGTAACAGTGGATTTGTGAATACAGCTATTAAAATAAGGAGTAAGTATATTCAGTCTTCTACCAAGTAAATAATCCCATAGAATATATTTTAGACCATCAACTGGAATGATCTCATCCTTTCCATTTCTCACACACATAAAAAAATGTTCCTCCTTACTCTAGCGTTTTTAGGTACCAGTAACAATCTATGACTTTGCGCTGGCAGATATCTAGTTGCATAGATGTGCAATGGGAGAACTTCAGAGGCAAGCTGAAGCCTGAAGTATGGTTTCTATCAAAAGCACCGACTTCACTGCCTCCTGCACAAGTATCCAGGGACCAGAGAAACTGATGCTGCCTCTTCATGAAACCCACCCTCACTGCTGAATGGATTGTGCCACTACAGGTCTTAGGGAAGGAGGAGGTGCCTCAGAACAGCTGGTAAAGTCAACACACAGTCTACTTGTGGAACTCATTGACAGGGGATGTTGTAAAGGTCAAAACTATAACGGGGTAAAAAAAGAAGAAGGAGATAAATTCATGGAGGATAATCTATAAGCCAAGATGGTCAGGGATGCAAAACCATGCTCTGGATGTCCCTAGCCACTGATTGCCAGAAGCTGGGAGTGGACGACAGGATCACTCAATGACTGCCTGTTCTGTTCATTCCCTCTGAAGCACCTGGCATTGGCCACTGTCAGAAGACAGGATACTGGGCTAGATGGACCACGGTCTGACCCAGCATGGCTGTTCTTATGACCCAGGATTTTGGACGCAGCACAATGCAATGAGCAGTGTAGTTTGTAATGTTGGAGTCACCTGGGGGGGACTTGTCAATATAGCTTTAAGCCAAAGAAATATTTTTACCCATGTCAGGGTGACAGATATGCCATCTTTGTTCTTCCTCAGCAGGAAGGCCAGTCTGGCACCTGCTGTATGAAGCAAACTACTTAGAGTAACATGTCAGGAGGAACTGAATGGGGTAAACTAGGAAAGTAGATCTCAACCTTTTCCATTCTGTGACCCCACCTCATGATAAAGAAAGAGGGTGCTTGGGTCACAATTCCACAGTTCAGTATCCATGAACTAAATGCTTACAAGGAACAACATTTAAAACTCTGCCTTCAAGATTTCATATGCAAAATTCTAACGGTTAATAGATGCCATCTGCTGAAGTCAGGATTGGAGTGACCTGCAGATTCTGCTCAGGAATAACCCTACGTTTACCATTTCTCTGATACACTGCGAGGCTGAGGCTCTGAACTCTGAAGTGGTTTCTCAGGAGCATATCTCCAGGGCTGCACGTAGCTTAACCACATCTCCAGGACCTGAAGCAAAACCACAACAACATAAAAATCAATTCAATTGAAGAAGGAAGATTTTGCTTGTTTGTTTTGCTAAGTCCCTTGGACAATGACACCCACTTTCTTAATGCCAACAAAAGGCTTAAGGAATGAAAATATCTTGCAAAAGTCTCAGCCCTGAAGAACAAGACCATGTGCCCTTGCATCAGAGCTGAAGAGAACTAAATGCTTAGTAAAAATCCATTAACAAAACATTTTAGGAAATGCCTGGTTTTACTGAACAAGCAGCTCACCCTCTACAATAACAGTTAGATGAAAGCGTGCTCAGGTGGCTGCCATGGAATTGAAGATGCATCCACCAATCAAGCTGATGTACCAGTACTGGTGTATGCAGTGTTGGGCCCAGGATATTAGAGACAAGGTGGGTGAGATATCATCTTTTATTGACCAACCTCTGTTGGTGAGAGAGATAAGCTTTAAAGCTTACACAGTGCTCTTCTTCAGGTCCAGGAAATGTACTTAGGCCAGGTCTACACTACAGAGTTAGGTCAACATAACTGTAAGTATCTGCAGATTTACAGCATTGCTCCCGCCGATGTAAGTCCTCCACTATACCGATCAGTGGCAGAGTCTGGTGCTGCTTTGAGTTGGTGTGTCCTGGTCTGTGGGGAGCTTGCTTCTAACGATGAGCTTTGAGAGGTTGGGAGCGTTGTTTGAAGGCTAGGAGAGGGGGTTCAGGAAAGATTTCTTTCAGGATGAGGTCCTCATCAAGCGTGGGTTGTAGTTGTTTGATGATACCCCGTATGGGTTCCAGTGTGGGGTGGTAGGAAATAACTATGGGTATGCAGTTGGAGGGGAGTTTATTTCTGTATTGAAATAGGTTCTCTCGAGGTATTTGGGTGGTCTGTTCTATGATGGGATCTACTTCTCTGGTGAAGTGTGGTTATTTAGTATGGCAGTTTTGAGCATGTTAAGGTGTATATCCTGGACTTTCTCCTCAGAGCATATTCTGTGAGTGCCTGACTGCAGACAACAGATTTCTTGGTGTGTTTGAGATGGTTGCTGCATCTATAAAAGTAGGCAAGGTGATCTGTGGGAAGTTGTGGTGAAAAATCTATAAGGGAGTGTCTGTCTGGAGGATGAAAATATCATTGATGTATCTCAGATACATTGGTTTCATGGCACATTTGTCCAGAAAGTCTTCAAGGTGGTCCATGAAGAGGCTGGCATATTGGGGAGCCATCCTAGTACCCCTGGCTGTTCTGGGTTTGAACAAACTGTAAAATTGTTATGGGCGAGGATGAAATGGATGAGTTCAGCAATGTGTTTAGTTTGGATATCTGCGGTTTCTCCATTGTTTTGTAAATATTTGAAGCAGGCAGCAATGCCATCATTGTGAGGAATGTTGGTGTATAGTGAAGTGACATCCCTGCTGGCAAGGATGGTGTTCTGAGGGAGGTTGTTAATATTGCAGAGTTTGTGGAAGAGGTCGGTTGCGTCTTGGAGGAACCTGGCCCTTTGCTTGGTGAGTGGTTTGAGGATGGTTTCTATAAGTCCCAATATTCCTTCCGTGCGAGTGCCGTGGCCAGATACGATGGGTCTGCCTGGGCTCCCTTGTGTATCTTGGGAAACACGTAGAAGGTCCCTGGCGTGGGTTCTTGGGTGATGAGTTTGTAGAGTTTCTCTTGGGAGTTGTTTGGGGAAGGATTTGATGATATTCTTAAATTCCTGGATAAATTGTGGTGCGGGGTCTTCTTTGAGTTCTTATAACAGGTGGTGTCGGAGAGTTGTTGGTTGGCCACGTTAATGTAGTCATCATGGTTGAGGACTATGCTATTATTCTGACATTTAATATCATTCACTGAAGCACCATATAGTCTAGTGAGACACATGGAGGAAGGGCTGAATAGTGTTTTGTGTTAACGCTTTTTCAGTCCTTCTTCTCCAATACAGCAGTGGGCACTCACACAAGAAACTACTAGGCAACAGGGGGTGAAATCTTGACCCCACTGAAGTCTGTGACAACCTTGACTTCAGTTGAGTTAAGATTTCACTCCTAGAGGCTTCCCAGTGGTGTATTCTGTCCTATCTGCCAAACATGGCAACATAACTGACCCAGCCATGTCACTTCCCCCAAGGAGGAGGAATGTATATTTAAAACATTTTGATATAAGAAATTAAAGCCGTATTTCTTCTCCCAGTCTGGTTAGTTACAACAAGATTAGAGTATATTATTAGATAGGACAAATTTATCCATAAACATACAGATTCTCTGTGGTAAGAATAGCTTGTTCTCAACCAGTACTCATTTCCATGAAGGGAAAGAGAAACGAACCACCACCACATAGTTTCACCAGTATCTAATACCTTGACTACACTTCATTTCTAACTCTAGTCTTAATAAATGTTTATTTCCCTCCCCCTGAGGAAAAAAATCATGAACAGGGAACAGTTCTACAAAAACAGTAGTTTTATCACTGCAGCTGGCTCAGTGTTTTATTAACTAACTCTGATTTTGTCTGGACTCAGCAGAAACAAAGGCTGGTACATACAGCTCTGAAAGAGGCATCCAAAGGCCAGTGGCCAAAACAATGCTGCAGGAAGATATAGAGCTTCTGCTGGACAAACCGAGGAATCACAACTCTGCAATGAGATTCAGACACAAAGACACTTGTATAAACAAATAATAGATGATAAAGTAATATCTCAAACATTTAATACAGACGTAACAAGTTTTGATAGCTTCTTTCTCAGCTGAAGGAGGAGCCAATGATTTGAACATGTCTGAAAAGTTCTAATAGTGATGCACACAACCTGCTATTCCAGGGCCAAATGCAACCCAAGTGCCTCTAAGAAAGCTGCCCAGTGTTCTCAGCTGAAATTTCTTTCTGGTGCAGTTTCAGTAACACAACTTTTCTCTACTGATCTGCACATGTCCTTTGCAGAGATATGCAGAGAAATTATTTCTGCACCAGTCTGACTGCTCTTCTAAACTTGCTTCAACTTCCCTCTGTTCTCAGAACAAATACTAGGACCTCTAAAGCAGTCTGATCCCCTCCTCCTTTTCTAAAAAAGCTGAAGCATTTTCCATTGTGGATTCATTGTGGATTGGGAGCAACTACTTCCTTCTTCCCTATTCTGATCTGGACTCCAGCCCAAAGTGCATGAGGAGTATAAAAGTGGGCTCTCTCATCCTCCTAATAATGCAATTTCAAGCTCTCAACAAAAGCAAAACTGCCAAGGTATGTATTAATTAGTGCTTTGTATGCCTGAAAGGCAGTTTGACAGTATACCTACCTCTTGAATTCCTCCAGTGGGCTGGCTGTATGGGAATGGGCTGAGGGCGAGAGTGGCTCTGGTTTCAGGCTGTTGGCAAAAGCATGTAGATGCTTCACGAGCAGTCTTATCACTAACACATGCTCTTCTGTAGGTTTAAATGACTCCTAGATTTAAAGCAATAGGCAGAAAGATAAGTTTTGCTTGTTAACGCGCTATGAGGGAGCTCAGCACAAAGATATTTTCACATCAGACATTTAAACAGGAGTGTCCCTACCTGTTTAGTTCTGTGCCACCCAATTTGAACAAATTATCTCCCCAAGAGAACAAGTTGTATCACAGCTCTGCCTTCAACAGCTCACTAACAAATTTTCCACTCCATGCATCTGATGGAGTGGGTTCTAGCCCATGAAAGCTTGTGCCCAAATAAATGTGTTAGTCTCTAAGGTGCCACAAGGACTCCTCGTTGTTTTAACAAATACCTGTGAGGCTTCTTTTAGTCACTGTGATTACAGGAGAAAGGGGTTTACAGTCTATCTTTTTGTTTCAAGTTATAGTAACCCCCTAGAGAGTAATAACAGAAATTAGTTTTACTTTAACTTACCCCCCTAAGGAAAAAATAAGAATATCCATTATTTTATTTATTATTATTTATTATTATTATTATTATTGTCTGTTGTTGGTAACAAAACAGAATCATTATTATGCTCTCAGCTCACTCTCTACTAAGCCTTCCTTCTTATGTGCGTGTTCTTTTGCCTCCTAAAAAAGAAAAATTCTAAAGAAGTTATGGAAAGAGTAATATTTGCTTCTGTTGCTCATGTCCTGAATGATCCTGTTGCACTTAACATCAGTATAAGTATTTTTTGGTTTTTTTTGGAAGGGGTGGTCATTCAATTTTTTTACTGGAAGTGTGGGAGATGGGAAGATCTTTTTCATGCAAGGAACATGGAGGGGTGAGTGTGGGCCAGTTTGGTATTGCTACCAGAAGAGTGAGCATATGGAGGAATGGGGAGATGCTATAGGGAGAGAAAAAGGGAGTCAGATATCAGTGTACCCCTTCCCCACTACTGCAGAGCCCAGGAGCACACACCAGCTCTACTGGTGTTCTAACCTGCCTTAGAAACAGTAAACTAATCTCAATCCACCACTAAGGGCTGTTTGTGGGAGATCAAGGATAGCCAAACACAAGTACCACAGCAACAAAAACAAGTGTGATGGAGGGTTGCACTGAGCTGCATGTGTTATCAGCAGCTGTGAAAGGAGATTCTTGGATGCTATAATGAAGCTGTGTTCAGGTGAAACTTCAGGGCTGCACAGTTTGACTACTTGGGACAGGTTGTTTTGGTTTATTAGGAAACTACTTCTTATCTTTTAATTGTGTTTAACTGTGTGTGAGCAATTCAGAACAATTCTTGGTGCTGCGATGACACTTTAAAGCCCTTCCTACTTGCAAGGGCTGTGGGGAAGCAGCTAACAGTTTTCATGTGCTTAAACAGTTCTGAAAATTTTCTTTACATAGCTAGGTTCCCTCTTGGAAAAGGCTCAACTCCTGACTGCTGGCAGGCGATGAAGGGCCTCTGTCTGCAGCAGTGCAGTTGGATGCATCTATGCCTTCTCTAAGGCCATGTCTGCACTACCTGCTGGATCAGCGGGTAGTGATCAACCTATTGGGGATCGACTTATCGTGTCTAGTGTAGAAACGATAAATCGATCCCCGATCGCTCTGGTGTCGACTCCAGAACTCCACCAGGGCAAGAGGCGGAAGCGGAGTTGACAGGGGAGTGGCGGCCGTCGATCCTGTGCTACGAGGACGTGAAGTAAGCGATTCTAAGTCGATCTAAGATACGTCGACTTCAGCTATGCTATTCTCATAGCTGAAGCTGCATATCTTAGATCGATATCCCCCCCCAGTGTAGACCATGCCTAAGGGAGGGAAGGCCCTATTACTAGGATTAATGAAGACTCCATTTGTATTCCTGCCAGTGTCCATCACCATGGACGTGAGGCTACAAAAGGGGTCACACCAGTTGAGAGGTGGCTGCAAGCCAGTTAGTCTATATAAAGTCTGAAGGAGAAAATACCTAACAAAGACCTCGTAGGTAGGCTCTTTCTGGTGCTATGAACTTAGACCAAGATTTTCAAAAGTGGCTAGTGATTTTGAGTGCCCACCTTGAGACCCTTATAGTCTGATTTTCACATATTGCTGAGCACCCACTTTCTGAACATCCAAGCCCCTTTAAGGAACCTCAAACTGGGCACCCAAAATCACTAGTCACTTTTGAAAATCTTGGCCATTGACTACCTCCAAGAAAGCATTCTATGTTGTTTTATATAAGTCTTCAACTGTTTGTATGGTTGCATTTAACTCCATTGTTCATTTTTACACTAACAAATCCTGTCACTTAAAAGCTATTTGACTAGCTAATTTCCTCATAACCTGGATCACCAGCATCACAAGCATTGTTCTTTAAAGCTAAAAGGCAGCTTCTGTTCTCCCCACGCTTTCCAAAAGCTTTTGACCTCCAGCCCTAATCTGCAGGAATGTTCACACGATCATTCCTCCCTTTACCCAGAAAGGTGGAGAAAATACATATTTCACATAAGTTTAAGAACAATACTATGGACTGGCATGATGATTTAAGGCTATAAAACAATGAGCCGGGTAGCAGATTCTTATTTTCCTTCTTAAGCGGTATGTTGAGTAATAGTAAAAGTGTTCATGCCGCCTATGCAAAAGCAGAGGACTAAGTGGTTAAGGCAGGGAGAATTCATACCAACATTAACTTGGCTTTATGGACTCTGCCTCACCAAGTGAGTAAAGGGCTGAAATATGGAGATGAACCCAGGAATCTGTTCCAACAGGAATGGCTTTGCAGACATGTCCTGAATAATCTGCAAATGTGCAACCCACATATCCCTTTGTGAAGTTAGGCAATCAAGCTCAGGCTGCCAATATTAATTTAACCCTGTCAGCTGTTTCTCACTGGAAGTGCAGAACGATTGTTTACATGTTACCTACCTCTCTCATTGGGGTACAGCCATGCAATCTCTGATCTCCTCTTCCCTGCAAAATTCATTTAAAGGAGCAGAACATGACAGACAGAATTCTGTCATTAGCAAAGCAAGTTGTTGGGCCAAGGAGATATTAGCACAGTGTCAAATTTTTCCCTTTAAATCCATTAAAAGAGATGCATCTCTTAAAATGGGGATCCCAATTGGTCCTTCTAATATGTGCTAGTCATCTAACACCCTTTTTCAAGGTGTTCATCAGTATCTCTCAGTATCTGCTGCACCTAGCTTTACCAAATGTTGTTTCAGTGGAACTAATCTCTGACTCATCTTGCAAACCTGCTGTACAGCTGCCTTTTCTGCTAGTGCCAATTAATACACTTTGCAGATTATATGATGAAACAAGATTTTTGAAAAAGAAACAAAATGAAAAGATGGCAATACTTGGTATGCGTGGAGGGCCTGGTAGCCGGATTGGGCAGGACTACTGTGGTGTGTACTGGAGATACTGAGTCGGTAGTGGAGAACCTCCAGCTGAGAGACAACAGAAACAAAAAGGAAGGAAAAAGGGAGAGAAAAGAGCAAGAGAGAAAAAAAACAAACAAGAAACAGTGAGAATGATCCAGAGAAGGGGTTGTGGGGGGAAAAAATGGAAGTCACAAATACAGTCAATGACAACATATCACAGCAGCTGTGGGCACAGTATCCTCTTCTCCTTTTGGTAATCAGTTGCTTGATTGCACAGGTACCTTGACCCTCATTAAGTTGGGAAAGTAATTGACAGGACATTGTTGCTGGGTTCACAATTAACATTAGTGGGTTGGGGGGAAGCTCTGAGTGAGTCGTCTCTGTGTCTGCCTCTACCACAGAAGCAGCAGGCTTGTAACCATGACCTGACAAGCATAGAGACACACAGCTTCCACCAAACACGTTGAGGAAATCTTAGGCTCATGAAACTAAGTCCAACCTCTCCACTTGAAACCAGCTAAACTGCAGGACAGAATAGCTGAATATAACGATTAACACGTGGGATGCTTTGATGTGGGGCAAAACCAATAATTTTTCTGGAAACTTGCAAACTAGTATTATGAAAGCTACTGTAAAGCTATCCCGTAGCCTGCAGTGCACTGGCAGACCAAGGTTTGGGATTCTTGCTGGTGTGCCAGTGAGAATCAGAGGAGCCAGTACGGGGACATATCTTGCCCCAGGGACATGGAGGGGGAAAGGGTTGATTTCATCACTGTGAGCCTCTCCAATTAACTGTAGTATTGACAATCACCAGATAGGAGTCTGCATGCTCCATGATTTGTTTTTCTAGTTAAAGGCCAAATACTATTGATGGGAATTCAAATTTGTGGAAAGTTAATAGGTCTCAAAGACCGAATGGCCTCTACTATTGGGGGGAGGAGGGGGCAGGCTGGGGAAACACCCAACCAAACAAAAAGACAAGCTTGTTGTAGAGATGGCATGCTGAAATAAAAACACGGCCATTAAAGTTCTAGGCGAGTGCCGAGATCTTCCCAAGTCTCAACCACACTCCTCCTTGGACAGGAAACATTTTCTAAAACTAATCAATATAGTGGTGAAGAGGATACTGTAGCCACATTGACATGTATGGAATAAATTAAAAAAATCAAAACAAAATGTACACCTAAACAGAGACCCAAATCAACAATATCAGACATCTAAACTAACTCTCCGTCTCACGCCTCCTCTAAGTTTATCTGTTCCTTTCTCCTCTATTTTCAATTCAGTTTTATTCTGCTTTGCTTTGACACTGCTAAGAGAGTGCTAGCAATGCCACTGCAAGGTACCCAACAGCAGAGCCCATCTTCTGCAATGGTAATTAACTCCCCTCCCGTTTGCTGCAGCAAGATCTAGACACCTGAAGAGTGCCACACATGCAATTGTTACTGGGATCTGCGATCCCTGGCAATGTAAGAACAACAGGCTTTACACAGAACCCTGTTAGATACTGGCCCCTTAAAATAAATCAAATCATGACAAAAGCAGAAGCTAAAAGGAAACAGATACTGCAAACCTGGCCCCCATTGAGCAGCTGCAAAACAGACAGAGGAAAGGAGAGTACAACAGAAAAGAAGAAATATGAAATTGAATCAAGTTGAATTAATGGTTGGGAGTCATTAAACCCACCATGATAACAGGCTCACTCCACATTTGGGAGCAATTTCAAGCAGAGTAATCACAAGGGAAAGTAATTCTTCTTGAAGCAAACTCTCTACTGGCTCCTCCCCATACCTCAGCCCCACCCCTTTATTACTGAAGTAAAAGATTTTCTTAGTGACATGAATCATTCTTAAGATCTGCCCGTTTCTTCCGACAATTCAGAGGGGCAATGGGAAATGACACAGCTGGGACCCAGCATAGCATTCCCAGATAACCCATGTTTTTCTGCTGCGGGAAGACGCACCAAGTTCTGTGGAATGCCATCCCATCCCCGCACTTTACAGGAGAGTTTGTAGCTAGAGACTTAAAATAGCACATTTAAAATCATGACTGGGCCCAAGTTCTGAGACCTTCTATGGCACTGACCATCCCTCTGCTCCACACATGCAGAAAGGTAAACGGAAACAGGGGAAGATACGTGGTCATTATTCACTTTACTTTTGCAAGTTCTAGTTTCTTGTTCACATCTGAATGACTGATAAGCTTCACTAGTTTTTTTTCAAACTCATCCAGATAATACTCTGGTCAGTTAAGTACTCACTGCTTGAGAGAGAGTGCTGTCTCCACACCTTCCAAAGTCTTACATCTCAGAGTTCTGGAGGAGGGTACCTTTTTGGATGGGGATGCCACTTCCCTGCCCTTGTTTTCTATCACAGAATATCAAGGTTGGAAGGGACCTCAGGAGGTCATCTAGTCCAACACCCTGCTCAAAGCAGGACCAATCCCCAATTTTTGCCCCAGCTCCCTAAATGGCCCCCTCAAGGATTGAACTCACAACCCTGGGTTTAGAAGGCCAATGCTCAAACCACTGAGCTATCCCTCTCCCACCCAAAAGCAGGAGGATTTCATTTGTCTACATGCCCATGACTAGTAATTCTTGGGAAATAATCAGGGACAGAAGTAGAAAACCATCAGGCAGCCACAGCCTCAATCCTCCCCAATCAGTGCATCTGGGTGGGAGCCTATGGTGGCAAAACTCCTTTAGGCGCTACCCATGCATTTCCACAGTGTAAGTCACACTGTTTGATGAGCACTAAGAAATCATCATCGTCGTCGTCGTCGTCATCGGCCTGGATGCTGCTATAACATTAGAAGACAGTGTCTCAGCTACAGAGGGTGAACAGAGGAGAGAAGTTTAAAGCGATGCATTTTTTTTTTACCTAAACATAAAGCTGCATGCACAAAGACTATGCAGACAGAGAACAAAGGTACTTAAAAGCAAAGCCTTTCCATCATCAGTGCATAGCCACGCTACTGGGGTTCCTGAGTGGAGACCTACCATCTTTATTGCAGTTTGAGCTCAAATCATTTTTTGGAATAAAAACAGACAAACTCACCACAATTAGATCTTCAACATTCTTCCCTAACAAAATATTTGTTTTATAACCTGATGAAGTGAAGGATCAGAATTTCCCAGTCAAGCAACTCTCATCTTACTCCTTCACACATTAACAAGCCTTTAGTAACTTTTGTATTTCTTCCCCCACTGGGAATCCTAAGAATCATCAGTCCCCGGGCATTTTTCCAAATTCCCTCAAATCTCAGCGCTCCCAACTCTTCTGATACCAGGTTCCCCTTTAAGCACATCAGTTTTATTCTTGAACAGCTAGAACAAATGGCTTGTAATCAATGTAATATCTTATTTAAGTAAGATCCTATAAGAGATCCCAAAGTTACATATACACAGAAAGCACTTCAGCCACCACTGAAATGCAGCGCACATTTAACAATGCCAGTTTCTGGGACAGGAAATATAGACTCCTTAACCAATTAAAACTATAAAGACAGTTTATGAAAACCCATTGAAATTGGATTTAGGCTAAAATCTTTGCTCTTGAAAAACATGCCACTGGATCTTCAAATGACTAACTCCTCAGTAACGCTATCAGCTGCAGAAACCAAATTTAGGTCTCGTGTGGCCATGTTGACATTTTTGTGTGGGATTTTAACAGGGCATTTTGTACTGAAGTCTTACCAATAGTTACTGATCTAATTACTATGAGTAGCATTGATTGTTATGACCATTCCACAACGTCAACTTTATATATATTTAGCTATTGCAACAAAGGCAAATGCAGATGACACAGGCATCTTCACCACATCTTTTCATCACTGCAGCTTAGAAGCTCTGAGGTATGCTTTTAAGAACACTCCTTTGTAACCATCCACTTAAAAGTTCTCCATAAGATGGGAAGTGATAAAGGTTCACCCCAAGATAAGAAGCCAACAAGCAAGACACACCCACAAATGAAGCACAAGCTATTACCTTGACATGAGGGGACTGCATTTTCTGATACATTTCCAGTGAGTAATGGTGAAGCCACATTTCAACAAAAACCTGCAAAACAACAAATGTTTTCTCAGCTAGAGGAAAAGAGGGAAGATCCAGGAATAGCCAGCCACAATCTGCCTCTGACTGGCCAAATTGAAGCCTGTTGTACATCACTCAACAAAAGACTAAGTTATACTTGTAAAATAGTGTAAAGCATGTACTTAGAGACGTTTCACTTTTTACAGACTTCGTTCTTTCCAAGTTCACCTTTACTAAATTTTTACATTTAGTGAGATAAGTGTGATCCGCATAGTATAATACTATCCCAAAGTATTATTTCACAATATCTGCAATCACACGTCCATATAATTACACTGCATGTTGCGGTTATGAGGCCAAAACTTCTCACAGTTACACACCTACAAACTCATCTGCTGTGTTTCAATGTGGTTCCACAGGTGCAAGAGCACTTTCCACCCCACCAAGGTATATGTTTTCTTTTCTCAATATTTTTAAGGCCCATTATGTTTCTGCCATTACTTGCATTATCACTGAACACACTCTCTCTCTCTTATTTGTTCTTAGGAGACTATTATACAATATAAGTCAAAACACCTTGTATAAATACAAGAAAAGTAACAAGACAAGCAACAGCTACCATATAGATCATAAAGTCAGAGGAATTGTAAACACAGTTCTGAAACATTGAAAGAAGCGTTCCTCCTTTAGCTCACCCAGCAGACCACTCATCTGAGTGTTAGTCTGTATCCGCAAAAAGAACAGGACGTACTTGTGGCACCTTGGAGACTAACAAATTTATTTGAGCATAAGCTTTCGTGGGCTACAGCCCATTTCATCAGATGCATGCAGTGGAAAATACAGTAGGACGATTTTATATACACAGAGAACATGAAACAATGGGTGTTACCATACACACTGTAATGAGAGTGATCAGGTAAGGTGAGCTATTACCAGCAGGAGAGAAAAAAAACCTTTTGTAGTGATAATCAAGATGGGCCATTTCCAGCAGTTGACAAGAAGGGGTGAGGAACAGTAGGGGGGAAAAATAAACATGGGGAAATAGTTTTACTTTGTGTAATGACACATCCACTCCCAGTCTTTATTCAAGCTTAAGTTAATTGTATCAAGTTAGCAAATTAATTCCAATTCAGCAGTCTCTCATTGGAGTCTGTTTTTGAAGTTTTTTTGTTGTAATATTGCGACTTTTAGGTCTATAATCAAGTGACAAGAGAGATTGAAGTGTTCTCTGACTGGATTTTGAATCATATAATTCTTGACGTCTGATTTGTGTCCATTTATTCTTTTACGTAGAGACTGTCCGGTTTGGCCAATGTACATGGCCGAGGGGCACTGCTGGCACATGATGGCATATATCACATTGGTAGATGTGCTCAAATAAATTTTTTAGTCTTATGCTCAAATAAATTTGTTAGTCTCTAAGGTGCCACAAGTACTCCTGTTCTTTTTTCTGGGAATACCAGTGATCCAAGTTTAGTGGCTTTAATTTATTAACTGGCATGTCTGTTTAATAAGAATGTGTGTGTGTGTCTCTCTCTCTCTCTCAAGGGAGATGGGAAAAGGCTGCAGGTGAACTACATAACAGGCACATCACACATTTCCTATAAGTATTACTTATCCATCCCTGAATTCAAATACCTTAGCAGAATAACCTATTCTTTTTTACTCTTCCATCTGTTTTCATTTCCCTTCCAACTTGCTTTAAGAATAAAAGCCCTAATGATCAGTTTAATCCTTTAGAGTATAAGAGCCTTGAAGCAAAACCTAATATAAGGCTAAGTTTCTTTAGGCCAAGATACATCAATTTCAGTAAAATATTCAATTATATGTTAATCGAGAGAGAGTGGTGAGCAAAGCATGTGCGGGAGATGCAGGCACAGACTTCAGTGGATGACTCCCCAACACTGCTGCTTTATTAGATTGCGAAAGCACCCAAAATGTGTTAGGCAATTTCCCCATATAGAAAAAGACATCGTCCCTGATTGGAAGAACTTACAGTCTACACAAAGACCTTGGTGTGGCAATGGAAGGAAGCATTTTAATTTTTTTTCCTACTACCTGTCTGGTGACTGGAGTGAGGGGGAGGAAATGAACAAGAACCGCGTCACTTACACTCAACCAAAGAGCAGCTTTATTTGAAAGAGACATTATCATGATCACTATACCACAAAATAAAGCTACACTGACAGCTTATTTTATTTTATTTTTTGAGAAGAGATGAGATCCTTATCTCCTGAATTCTAGGAACTATTTTTAAAAATTGATTCTTGCTTGCTTGTTGTCTAAACTTAGGTCTAATTTAGCATGTGATTCCCCATAATATTGTTAATACTTTGGATAGAAGTCATCACAGAAATGCAAATAACTCAGAACATTTGTGAATTAATTCTCATAACCACCTGTAAGATAGGTATTATCCCCCAAACTGAGGTGCAGAGATTAAGTGTCTTGCCCAGAGACACACAGCAAGTTTGTGGCAGAGCCAGGAATAAACCTACAAACTCCCAACTCCCAGTCCTGTGTTTTATTCATTAGTCACAAGATCATCCTTCCCCATAAACATCCTGCGTACACACTATTACACTGTACAATCAATATTTCAGTTTAGCACTGGGGCAAGATATCAGGTTTTGAATAAATTCTTAGTTCCTCATATTTCTCTCCCTAAATAAGGAGCGACTTATTCTGGTGTAAGTTGGATGAGACTCAGGCCCCTGAAATCCAAAGAGTGACAACTATTGCTTAACAACTTAGCAGTGCCTTTTTATTTTATGTTTCTTTATATTATGTTAATAGAAAACAACAGCTGCACTGCTCAGTTCCATTAACAGACTGCAAGGTAGAAAGGAATGGAAAAGAAAGCGGATCTTTAGTTAGGAAAAAAGAGATTTACCTGCAAATAAGCTTTTTCAGCCATTCTAACTTTAAAAATATAAGAAAATAAATCAGACTCACTTTAAGCACTGTTTCTGATCTCCAGATCTCTTGGGAAGCAGGATCAGCATTCACTGAAGGCTGATGGGCAATGTGCCGTTTCAGTAGACTAGTGTGGTGTATGCCATAAGAAGTGAAAGGCACTGCTGGGGATCTTTAAAGAGAAGTTTATATAAATACCGAAGTCAATGGGCCTCTGTACAGGGACAGAGGTCATAGATTGTAACCACAAGGACATAAAGAAACTGAATAAGAGTTTGTGCTAAATAAAGCTACGTAATTAGAATTTTAAAAATTAAGCAAGAGGTTGCAATTACTAGCCACAGCATTAGTAAGTGTCCCGTGCCTATTTTCATTTATTATTTTAAATGTCACTATGCAAACCACACACTACATTCTGCAGTACACTATTTAATTTAGCCTGTCTCCTATTCAACTTTACTGTGAGGTTAGGCCTTCATTAGGCAGCTACATCATTAACAGACTTTATTAATCCAGTTTAAGGTTGAAGAAAGCCTGAGAGAGAGCTTTTGGGAGTCACTCAAAATGCCATTGTTAAAAAAAGCCACAACAATATATATTTGAGTAAATAAACATTTTTGATGATAAAAATAATACATAAAAATACCAAATTCAGAATTATCTTTACAAAAATTATACATTCCCACTCATCCCAGATGAGTAAGATACCAGCTTTATCCCTTACTAATCATTGTAGATTTTGTGCATGTGCTGGTAAATTTTCATGTCCATTTTGCAAGGCTAATTGAAGAGCCTAAGTTAAAACTACACAGAGGCTCAAAAAACTTTAGTAAGAGGTTGAAATTCTTTCCTCAGGTCCTTCCCAGTTTGTGGCTCAATAAAATCAACATATATAGTTATGCATAGTCTGCCACCTAAACTTTGATAACCCTTTTGTACGCTGGATAGTAAAATAAAAAATTCTACCCAGGCTTTGTATACCAGATCAATATCACAACAATTGGTAGCTTGCAAGGAAACACTGACGCATTCTTAACTAGGACATGGAAGTTTATAGCAGCAGAGACTGAAGCTGGCAACGTCAAAAAGTTAAAACAGAAGATACTGTTTGCCAAAATTGTCTGGAGTCAGCAAAATTGTTAGAATGTGAGAAGTTCCTTCAGCTACAGCCAAGACCAATTCAGTTTCTCCCTGACTGCACGGCATATGCATTAAATGGTACAAGCCACTCCTGGGTGGATGGTGAGTGTGTCCCACACTAGTCACAGCAGGAGCCATAATTAGTGGTATTGAATGAAAAAAATCCAACAGCTACAAACCACATTTATAACTCATCTCTGGCTCCACTACTAAAGGCCAGCAAACTTTCAGGAGAAAAGTTTCTCAGCTTTCAGTGACCCCTGTATTATATCCTCCATTGTAAGACTACTATACAGGTACAATCATGTTTATTTTTATGCATATACACACAATATAAAAATGGTGGCATTTTCTTACAATATCTGGGGTGAGAACTCATAATTGAAGCAAGCCAGTTTTTGTGAGCACTGCCCATGCAGTCTAGCACGGATAACGCAAATTTACCAAGTTATTACCTAGGAGCAGGTGAAGGGATGCCCCCGCCAGGATTGGAAGAAGGTGGAGGAAGAACACTTCCTTCTGTAGGAAGGAACCATTTCAGGTATGTGTCCACCAGACTGAAGTAAGCGCTGTTTGAAGGGCTGACATGATGGGTGGTAGGAGAGTTCTGGAATATATACACACACCATATAGCTACAATAAGTAAATACACACACTGTTACAATAAGTCACTGGGAACAGGGATTTCAGGACCTGATAAATCTCATTCTGGGTCTGATGCAGGAATTACTGGATGAAATTCTATGGCCTGTGTTATGCAAGAAATCAAACTGGATGTTCATAGTGTTCTATTCTAGCTTTAAAGATCTGCGTTTTCATGAGCTCTTCTGCAATGATTCAGTGTATTGAATCACACTTCACATCTGACAGCAACATTAGATACTGCTAAAAACAAGGGAAGTTTGGTGCGCAGTATAATATAAGACTGCCATGTGTATTGTTTGTACAACAAAGTATGAAAGATGATCAACATGCTCAGCAGGTATAAAGTAAGAGTGCACAGAAAGCTGAAGTTTCTATACCTCATTCATCCTCAGCCACCAACGATGGAATGCAGCACTGAGAAGAGGAAGATGTGTACCATTATATAGATGTGTATAATCACTGCCTATGTTTTCATCATATCAAATGGTATTTACAAGCAACAGGTGCAAGATTTAGTTTAACTAGGTGCTTGCATTTAGAGAAGATGGAAGCTTTCAAAGTGCAGTGAAGAAATGGTTTGCCAGAATGATGCCACTTTAAAGGGAAAAAAGGATAAAATTTACTTACCCTCTGTGTGATAAGGCTTATTGCAAAGTAAAACATGTAATATTCAAAAGGATCTGGAGAGACAGAGTCAAGGATACAATAAGTACAGCTTATTGGAAACATGATATGAACTTATTGGCCTTTTAAATCTTCAGTATCTCAGTGCTAGTTTTAGAAGACTTTCTAGAGCTCAACAGCAAGTTCAGGTTTGATCTCTTGCTCTCTTCCCAGGTGTTTATTACACACTGTCAAGTAGTTTAGGTTTTTTCTCCGTACCAGACAAACAACCTAGAAATATTTATGAAACATAAGGGCTGAAATCCCGGGCCCACTGAAGTCAATGGGAGTTTTGCCATCAACTTCGATGAGGCCAGAATATCATCCTAGAAGTTTTCACACATTCAAGATTTCAATGGATGACAAGTTTAAGTCTAAACATTCCTCTACTGTGTTTGCAATCTGAACATAGCAGCATTGGACTAAGGCACATCACTGTACAGCTAAGTACAGTAAGCAAACAGCAGAAATGCATCTTGATTTCTCAGTTTTAGTCACTTAAAATATTAAAAGGAATTAAAAAATGTAAACCCTTCAATTGTCAAAAGGATACTGAGGGCCAAGTTCGAGCCCAGGCCTCCAGATGGAGGGAACTGGACTTTGTTGTGGTATAGCGAGCATTCTGGTAGGACTCGTTCTTGCATTGAAGCCTTCACAGGGCCCTGAAAAAAGAGGGAGTAATGAGATACCTACCAGACTACTAAGAATATGTGAATGAGTTTTTGAGGATGTATTCTTGTATTGGACTGTAAAAAGATGACTGGTTCTTTGTTCTAGACTGTGGCTATTTGGTTGCAATGGAAAAGTTATTTCACGAAGCTTCCATGGAAAACCCGTTTTCCTACAACCATAAAGTGTTATGTTCCATAACCAGGATGATAGTTAATCTTCATTAAACTTACAGGAATGAAGCATCTGAGAGATATGAGATGTTGTTAGAGGTGGGGATGCTTTCCAACAAGTTTGGAAGAGAAGTTTTAAACTCCATCCATTGGTAATCAAGACAAAAATAGTCTAGTGCCTATTTTGGCAGCCAAATAATAAAAAAGAGAAGTGAAATTTCTTAGTTGAACAGCACAAAAGTTGCTGATAGTAACATAAACTAACAGCACAACTTCTTAAAAAATCCATCATGACAATGAATGCTCTGCCTCTAACAGCCCTCTGAAACAATCAACAATCTAGAAATCCCATCTACAGAGCCTGCTATGCTATGAAACAGTAATTCAAATACTACAGTGGCAGGTCCTATGCTGAACCCAGAGTATCTGAGTAAGTAACATTCCAATGGGTGCAACACCAAAATAATTTTCTCTTACATAACCTTTAACAGTTACTTACTGGAAGATAGGAGACTGGAAATTCATATCTGTACTCCTCAGCTTGGAGTTTGTAAACCAGCTTCATCATCGGGCCACTGTAAGCAAGGATGAGGAAAAACAGTGAACATCTTTTTTTTTTTTTGGCCCCTTTTGTAGATGAATGTTTACACACGAGGAAACATGTCAAATACTAGTTTATTAATTCACCATGAATTTTCCACTGCTCTAAAGTTGGCACATTTACCTGGGATCCAGGAAATCCAGCGCAATAGCATACTCTGTAGGATTCACTCTTCCATGCAAACAGCGAAGATTCCAACCTATGATAATGCCATCCAAACTACCAAAAATATTCTCCACTAGCCATGGGAAGATGGCATGCAGTTCCTACAGGAAAACAACCAGAAAAAGGGTTGGAGTCATAATAGATAAATAAAATTTTAAAAAAAGAAAGATTGCTGTTCAGGTGTAGATTCTTTGTCTGAAGAGTCTTAATTTCAGACATCTGAATGCAAGAAATATTTTCCACCAACTACACTCAAAATATGCATAATTCTTTTTATTTCCAGGGCACACTTCTATGTGCAGAACATTCAGTGGAAATAATTTAAAGAAATTTAAATGCAAACATATATTTCCCCCCCCCTTGATCTGAAGTTAGACTCTGCCTATTTTCTAATTCCTTGATTCCCATCATTTTACAGACTGAACATAAGAACGGCCATAATGGGTCAGACCAAAGGTTCATCTAGCCCAATATCCTGTCTTCCAATAGTGGTCAATGCCAGGTGCTTCAGAGGGAATGAACAGAACAGGTAATCATCAAGTGATCCATCCCGTGTTGCCTATACCCAGCTTCTGGCAAACAGAGGCTAGGGATACTTCAGAGCATGGTTTTGCATCCTTGCCCATCCTGGCTAATAGCCACTGATGGACCTATCCTCCATGAACTTCTCTAATTCTTTAATGAATCCTGTTACAGTCTTGGCCTTCACAATATCCTGTGGCAAAGAGTTCCACACACTGACTGTGCATTGTGTGAAGAAATACTTCCTTTTGTTTGTTTTAAACCTGCTACCTATTAATTTAATTTGGTGACCCCTAGATAACAGTTCCTTATTTACTTTCTCCACATCAATCATGATTTTATAGATCTTTATCATATCCCCCCCCAGTCGTCTCTTTTCCAAGCTGAAAAGTCCCAGTCTTATTAATCTCTCCTCATATGGAAGCTGTTCCATACTCTTAATCATTTTTGTTGCCCTTTTCTGTACCTTTTCCAATTCCAGTGTATCTTTTTTGAGATGGGGTAAGCAGATCTGCACACCATATTGTTACCATAAAAGTTTTCAATTTAGAGTGATTAAGGTAGCAGAAAACCTCATTCTTTATCCCTAGACTACTATGTTCCAACTCAACTGGTTAGTATCAGTCATGTGTCACATCTTAAAATATTAGTGTCCTCATATTTGGCATTTCAGTAGAGAATGAAAAGTATGATTAAGAATGTGATCAATTAAAAATTTGGAGTTTTGTAACTACTGGAAAAGTTAGGTAACTTTTGGGAAACTACTGAACTCATAAAACTTCACATAAGAATCTTAAAACTCTTTACAAAGGCCAGAATAAAGAGAAATATTTTTAAAATAATATTTTTATAACTCCACTGAGGCATAGCTCAGACTACATTCATTGAAAGGTAGCTGTACCTTGGCAGGAAAATCTTCAATGACTATCTCCAGATCATGACACCTCTGAGCAAAGGGCTTGTTCATGCAATCTGCCTTCAAACTGGCCTGTTATGGACAGAAACTGAAATAAGATCACTTCAAGAGAAAGTAAAAAGGGCAACACTTATAAAGATCTTGGCAGAGAATTCTCTAGTTACAGTGTTAAATATTGCTCTTGTAAAAAAGCAATGGGCTGTCATTGTTTCCATCATAAGATTTACTCTAAACATAAGTATTTTTTAACTCAAGACAAATCTCAGATACAGGTTTTTTTACCTACTTGGATCTACATTACAAGTTTTAAATTAAAGAGCAAGTACTCAATTTGTGACCATTTAAGTTCTATGAAAATAAGACCACATGACATTTAGAATGGTCATCACACACTAGAGTATTTGAGAAGAGGAGCTGGAACTTTCTCAGTGCATTTCCACAGAATGCTTTCAGATTTTATGCTATACATTCTGCTTATAGATAAATTGTCAGGAATTAATATGTGGAGGATTTTCAAGTGATTATTTGGCAATTCATTAGTCAAAAGCAATATCACCACAAGACTTTCCTAACCTATAACCATCTGTACTGGCACTTACCAATAGGAAGCTAGGCTGTTGTAAGTGAGGGACAGCCATAACTGTCTTTCTACAATACCCCAAAGGAAGTGTGATCTCAGGAAACCACTGGAAAGAAAAGAGATAGAAACATCTAAGTGAATATTAAAATCTCATGTTATAACACTGCTACAACTCACTTTCTGATATATTCATGTTTATGCATGAAAACAGGCAAAATGCATGTTTATTATGTCTATGTGAGCTGGAGTAAACCAAGGCAGATCCCTGACAAAGGTGACTACGCTGTAATTTCCGCAAAGTTGATAACACTGCACATTCGCATAGAAATAATACAGTCTTTTCCAAATAAACATAACTTGGGGGTTGGGGGAAGGATGCAAAAAGAGCCTTTGTTTAATTAGACTGCAGCCAATGCAGGGGCACAAAACCATCTCTAGGGGACACAACCTGTATGGCATGGACTGTATGACGTGTTTATGGAAGCACCAGTCCAGCAAGAGAAAGAAGACACTATCCAGATGTGAGATTGTCTGCAAATAGCTCCCGCTGAGATGGTGGCTGCTGACACAGGGAACACAAGCACATTACCACCAGTTTCAGAGCAGCAGCCGTGTTAGTCTGTATTCGCAAAAAGAAAAGGAGTACTTGTGGCACCTTAGAGACTAACCAGCTCACTTCATCGGATGCATCCGATGAAGTGAGCTGTAGCTCACAAAAGCTTATACTCAAATAAATTGGTTAGTCTCTAAGGTGCCACTAGTCCTCCTATTCACATTACCACCAGCGGCTGAAGGGACCAAGAGAGACAGGATCCTGGAAGGTTTTATGTTTGTCGGGGAGTGGTGGGGCTGAGACCCCCTCCAGGGGGCTGGATATTGGGGGCCCTGCTTACAGCCTCTCCCCCCCGGACTGAGACCCTATCCAGGGGGCTGGATATTGGGGGCACTGCTTACAGCCTCCCCCTTGGGGCTCAGACCCCTCCAGGGGGCTGGATATTGGGGGCCCAGATTACAGCCTCCCCCCTTGGGGCTCAGATCCCTTCAGGGGGCTGGATACTGGGGGCCCAGATTACAGCCTCCCCCCTTGGGGCTCACATCCCTTCAGGGGGCTGGATACTGGGGGCACTGCTTACAGCCTTCTCCTTGGGGCTCAGACCCCTCCAGGGGGCTGGATATTGCGGGCGCTGCTCACAGCCTCCCCCTAAGGCTGAGACGCCCTCCAGGGGGCTGGATATTGCGGGCACTGCTTTCAGCCTCCCCCTTGGGGCTCAGACCCCTCCAGGGGGATGGATACTGGGGGCGCTGCTTACAGCCTCCCCCTAGGGCTCAGACCCCTCCAGGGGGATGGATACTGGGGGCGCTGCTTACAGCCTCCCCCTTGGGGCTCAGACCCCTCCAGGGGGATGGATACTGGGGGCGCTGCTCACAGCCTCCCCCTAGGGCTCAGACCCCTTCAGGGGGATGGATACTGGGGGCGCTGCTCACAGCCTCCCCCTTGGGGCTCAGACCCCTCCAGGGGGATGGATACTGGGGGCGCTGCTCACAGCCTCCCCTTGGGGCTCAGACCCCTCCAGGGGGATGGATACTGGGGGCGCTGCTTACAGCCTCCCCCTTGGGGCTCAGACCCCTCCAGGGGGATGGATACTGGGGGCGCTGCTCACAGCCTCCCCCTAGGGCTCAGACCCCCTCCAGCCCCGCCCCCAATCTCCAGCCCGTTCTCCCGGGAGCCGGACCCCGGCGGGAGGGAGGGGGCGTCTCCCCACCTCGAGCGGGGGCCTCTAGCAGCAAGGAGCGGGAGCACATGCCCCCCGCCCCCACCTACAGCTTCCTGCCCCGCGGCCCAGGGGGGCCCCTCACCTCGCCCCGCTGCCCCGTCCCGCGCTCTACCGCCCCAGACCATTTTCAATCCGCCGCCGCTCCCTCCTCCCCTCGGGACCGGCGCTGTCGTTAGACGTCATCCCCCTCTCGACGCGTTGCAGTGACGCGCTCCTCTCCTCCTCCCAAGCTGGCTGGCGGGCGGGAAAGCCGCCGGCGGCGCGAATGCCTGGGCCTGGCCCCGCCGTGCGCGTGGCTGCTGCCTGCGTCACGGGGCTTCCCTGCCCCCAGGGCCTGCCGCGCCGCCCGGGGGGTGAGCCGGGGCCCCCGGCCGCGCCTCCGAGCGGAGACGGCGGAGGCAGCGGAGCAGCCTGCGAGCCAGGCCTTCCCCGCGGGCGGGAGCCGGGGCTGTTCTTTGTCTCAGGGTAGGGCCTGCAGGCCAGGGCCCCATCGTGCCAGGCCCTGAACGGCACATCCCAGAGCGGGCCCTGTGCAGCCCCTCAGAGCTGCAGGGCCCTTGTGGTCCCCCCGGCGGTGCTGCCTGCCGCCCGCACCCTGGGGGCCGCTCTTTGCGGCAGAGACAGACCAGAGCTCCACAATCCCGAGCCAGGCTGTCAAACCCTGAAGTGGGTTTAAAACTGAGTTGGGAGGTTTTTATTTACCATCTGGCGTTTGAGCCTTTAGGTTACAGTCGGATCATATTTTTAACTTCTCTTCAACGGTGAGAGCTAGGAGCAATGTTTGTTTGTTTAATGGAAGCTGAGATTCTTCCATAATCACTTCACTCCAGAAACTGAGGCTTTAAGAAAAATACTATCTATCTTAGGGGTGGGCAAACTACCACCCATTGGGCCGCTTTTATCTGGCCCTCGAGCTCCTGCTGGGGAGCAAAGTCTGGGACTTGCCCTGCTCCAGCGCTCCAGCTGTGGAGCAGAGTCAGGGTCCGCTCCACGCAGCTCCCGGAAACAGTGACACGGCCCTCTCCAGCTCCTAGGTGTAGGGGCGGCCAGGGGGCTCCGCTCTGCACACTGCCTCCGACCCTGTAGCTCCCATTGGGTGGTAACCACAGCCAATGGGAGCTGCAGGGGCTGTGCCTGCAGTTGGGGCAGGGTGCGGAACCACCTGGTTATGCCTCTGCGTAGAAGCTGGAGAGGGTACATGCAGCTACTTCCTGGAGCCGGTTGAGGTAAGCACCGCCCGGAGCCTGCACCCCGAGCCTCTCCCTGTGCCCCAGCCCTGATCCTTCTACCCTCCGAACCCCTCAATCCCAGCCTAGAGCACCCTTCTGCACCCCAACCCCCCAGCCCCACTCCAGAGCCTACACCCCCAGTCAGAGCCCTTGCCCCACCCCCCTGCCCCAGCCCTGATCCCCCTCTGAACCTCTTGGACCTAGCCTGGAGCACCCTCATGCACCCAAGACCCCTCATCCCCAGAGCCCGCACCCCCAGCCAGAGCCCCCTCCTGCACCCTGAACTCCTCATTTCTGGCCCCACCCCAGAGCCCACACTCCCTCCCGCACCCCAACCCCAATTTTGTGAGCAGTCATGGCCTGTTATACAATTTCTATTCCCAGATGTGGTCCTCTGGCCAAAAAGTTTGCCCATCCCGATCTATCTTCAGGACTCAATGAAATCACAAGAGTTGGCAACACTGTAATTGCAGCCACCATATCTCTCCTCCTTCAGTCTGTAAAACTGCTCATTTTTCATGAAAACAAGCAAACCTAAATACCTGGGGGATTCTAAATGTGTGAAATCAAATGCACTTTGATAAAACCACTTCTACAGAGACATAATTAGCATTAGCACCAATTTTTATCACTAATGAAGAGTTTGCATTTAATTGCTAGCTGAGGCAGAGAGCTTCAAGGAGGACAGGTTTGATCTCCTGCACGGTCGACATCAACTTTGAGGGCATCCTCTTTGAGGAGAAATTCATCGTTGTCCTTTCAGAGTAACAGCCGTGTTAGTCTGTATTCGCAAAAAGAAAAGGAGTACTTGTGGCACCTTAGAGACTAACCAATTTATTTGAGCATAAGCTTTCGTGAGCTACAGCTCACTTCATCGGATGCATACTGTGGAAAGTGTAGAAGATCTTTTTATACACACAAAGCATGAAAAAATACCTCCCCCCAGGAGAGTGGGGTGGGAGGAGGTATTTTTTCATGCTTTGTGTGTATAAAAAGATCTTCTACACTTTCCACAGTATGCATCCGATGAAGTGAGCTGTAGCTCACGAAAGCTTATGCTCAAATAAATTGGTTAGTCTCTAAGGTGCCACAAGTACTCCTTTTCTTTTTATGGTTGTCCTTGAATCTAATGCCATCAACATGATGATTGACTTCACCAAGATCAACAGCCGGGGGAAGCTGATGGACCTATTGAGAGGCACCTCTTTCCCATTGGCTACCAGTGAGTACCCCACACACTCCCTGCCTCTGGGATGAGGAGAGGGGAAGGTCAAACAGACGGGGGAGTGAGAACTTCACAGGGACCGTGCTGGATTCAGGATGGGCAGATTCTGCCTTGCGGCAAACCTGTATGATGGCTCCAGGGGGGTCAGAAACTTGTAGAGTTTTTCCCATCAGATCTGGTCTATATAGCTTCTACTCCAAGGACATTTCCTTTCCTCTGCCTCCCTGGATCTCATCAGGGATGGAGGAGGGAGGGAGCAGGGCCTGGAGGGGGCTAAGGAGGCAGATGTGGTTCAAACTCAGCATATAATTAACAAATTGAATCAATGTGATAATGAATGAGAAGAGAAGACATTTTTAAATTGCTGATATACCAAAGCTGGGACTCTGTGAATTAAACAAAAGAAATTGGGAATTCCCATTGACAGGAAGAAATTTTGATATAATCAGCATTTGTGAAACTTGGTGGGATGATTTGTGTGATTGGACTGTTAAAATCACTGGTAATAAACTGTTCAGGAAAGATAGAGAGGGCAAAGAGGTGGGAGGTATGCTACATGAAAGACACCATTACCTGTTTTAGAGTTATTGATAACTCAGAACTACTGGATCTTGGATGTGTGTGCATTTATGTGCTAACTAACAAAGCCCAAGAGGGGGTATTGGTGGGGTGTCTGTTACAAACCACACCGGAGAAAACTATGAGTTACATCTTAAGCATCTATCTGTAATGTGTGCAAAGAAAAACTGTGTTGTTATGGGTAACTTCAGGAAGATATGTGCAGGAGGACTCATGGAGACAGTACTAAAACATCATTAGAGGTTCTAAAAATTATTGGTAAGTTCCTAACACAAAAGTTATTGCCCCAAACCTAATGTAACTATATTGTGGAACTCCTTGTGTTGGATAAAGATGAATTAATCACTGAACCGAAAGTTGATGATTGCAGAGGGATCAATGATCATGACCTGATTATATTCAATATGGGCAAGCAGAGAACAGTCCCAGCCAGTTTGTTTATATATATACACACACACACACACTCAGTGCTTCAAAAGGGATAATTTTCCAAATTTGATGAAAATTATGAGTGAAATTGGTATAAAATTAAAACTGAAAAATGTGAATGAAAAGTGGGAGTTCTTTAGGAAGGGTTTATTAGATGACTTAAAAAGACAAAGTTCCATTTGGCTAAAAGCCCATCCTGGTTCAGTGGTGAAGTGAAGGCAGCAATATCTAATATATGGAAAAAAGGAGAAACAGGTACCAATCAATATAAATTAGAAGTTATGAATTGTAGAAAATTGATAAGGGAAGCTAAATGTATCAGGAAAAAATATGACTGGCTAAAGACAATAAGGAGCTTTTAATGTATATTAGGAACAGAATTAATCCTAGCAATGCTATAGGCCCATAATTAGATGGAGATGGTAAGATTGTTAACAATGTTAAGAAAAGGCAGAAGTGTACAATAAATATTTCTGTTCTGTATTTGGAAAGAAACAAGATGGTGCATTCATATCACATGAGGATGATAGAGTACATCCCAGTGCATTAGTAACTAAGGAGAATGTTAAGCAACATCTTAAAGGGATTAACATTTTTGAGTCAGCAAACCTGCCTAATTTGTATCCAGGAGTCCTAAAAGAATTGGCTTAGGAGGTCTCTGGCCTGCTTATGTTAATTTTAATGGAGTACTGGGGAAATTCTGGAAGACTAGAAGAGTGCTCCTTTTGTGCCAGTATTCAAAAAGGACAAGTGGGATGACTTGGGTCTGCACTGGGATGATGGGTAAGGTTAACCGAACAAACTCTGGGCAAAATAATGTAAAAGTTAATATGGGATTCAACTGATACAGAATTAAGGATAAGAATGTAATTAATGCCAATCAACATAGTTTTATGAAGGATAGGTCTTGTCAGTCAAACCTGATTTCATTCTTTGATGAGATCTCAAGTCTGATAAGTACATTACATTTATGTAGTTAGCTTTTAAGACTTATGTAAGGTGTCTAAGTACCACATGATAGTCTGATTTAAAAATTAGCAAAATATAGTAGCAATAAAGAACATGTTAAATGGATTAAAAACTGGCTAAGTAGCAGGTGCTTTTCTGGAAGATATGCTTTAATCAAACGCAAAACACTGGGCTCAGTGTAAGGATAACTGGGAGAGATTCTCTGGCCTGTGTTATAGAGGAGATCAGGCTAGATGATCTAATGATCCCTTCTGACCTTAAACTCTATGAATCTATGATTAACATTAACATTGATGCAATATTTAAAATCTCATTAGTCTAATTTAGAAAGAGATATAGATGGAACGTAATTGTAACATAGGCCATGATCCTGCCAATACTCATGCTCATAAGCAATTTTACACAAGTGAGTAGTCCCAGTGAGTTTAATGGGACTACTCACATGTGTAAAATTACTTAATATGTGCATAAATGTTTGCAGGAGTAGGGACGTAATTATCACACCATTTGATGTCTCTCTAGCTCTTTCCATTCTGTGACTTTTTTTAGCCACAAAGGTCACTGAAATGTAGTCACCTCTGAAGGCAGGGCACCAGCTGGTAAACAACACACTCCACAGCAGTGTGGGAAGAGGTTATATTTGGTCAGCAACACCAGGGCAAACCCCTTCTTTGAATGGGGAGGAGACATATCCTCCTGAATATGGCCTAATGCTGTCAGTGACCAAATTGGGCATGGGGA